TAAAAATTTAACTAGGTGACCATATTTAGATACTGGACCTAATATAATTTTGTTCAGTAATTTTCGGAATTACTGTTTGGGTTATGTTGATATTATTCTTATTAAGTAGTTTCTCTGTAGAATACTTGTTATTTGTAATTGAATAGAAATTTTAAAACCTATTTTTGGAATTAATTTCCTATTTTTCTATTTTTAAATTCGTTTATTGAATAGAAAATAGGAAAACTTATTTTTAAATATGTTTTCCTTTTTGTTTTAACTTACAAAAAGTTAAAAAAAAAGAGAGTGACATTTGTTTTTGCCATAATTTTTTTTTTTAAAAAAATTGATTATTTATTTAATTGTTTTACCATATTCTATAAAACAATTTACTTTAAAATTTGGTGATCAAAAGTTTACAAACATTTTTGTACATTTTTTTAAAAAAAATATAGTAAAACGAAAGAAAGCCATGTTCCACTCCACGACGTCCGCTCACATCGATCAAGGAAAATTTTGAGGTAAGAAGATAGTTAGTAATTTCATAACTCTTGATTTATCCTAGAATGGAAGCTTTGAACAACCAACCTCATGTGTCCGGAGATTCCGAGGCATCAAACATTGGAAACTTTTTTGGTGGAAACCCAGGAAATAATAATAACAATCTCAACGCTAACAATGAGAATATCGTTGGAAATAACGTAATCAATCAAGTGGCGGGATTTCTCCACCAACTTGCTACACAAGTCCGTCCCGAAGGTTGGAATTTAGATCGTCTCAAGAAGAATGGTGCTTGGGTATACAAGGGAGGAGAATCGGGACCTCCAGAAGTCGCAGAGCACTGGATCGAACAGACAAAACGTGTTTTTGAAGATAACCTCATTCAAGAAGGAGAATGGGCTCGACTGGCCATATCTCTACTGCAAAATGAAGCATATGATTGGTGGAAAGTTGAAAAGACCAAAGAAGGACTGCCTGAACCCCTAACTTGGGTAGCATTTGAGAAAGCTTTTTCTGACCATTTCATACCTCCTTACTATCGTGACGCAAAAAGAAAAGAATTTCAAAATCTGAAACGTAAAGGGATGTCTGTGGAAGCTTACAAAACAAAATTTGTTAAGCTATCTAATTATGCTAAGGATTTAATCACTGATGAGGAGAAACGATGTGAGTTCTTCATCGACGGGCTAGATGAAGAATTCCAAAGGAGTCTCAACGGGACTGTACATCGGAACTTCAATGAGCTCATCAAAGCAACCATGCGTATTGATTCGATCGGAAAGAAAACCTTTGATCAAGGGGAAGCATCATCAAAGAAGAACAACTCCAATACAAAGAATGTTGGTTGGGGAAAATATGGTCCCAAACAACAACAATACTTCAACAATAAAAAGAAGACGGAAACTCTGGTTGAGA